CCCGCGCGGCCGCCGCCGCCCCGCTCTGCCCTGCCACCGCCCGGCCTGCACCGCCACTCACCACACCAGATCTCCGAGCCTCAGACTCACGGCCGCCATCTTACCGACACAGCCACCAGCCGCACCGCGCAAGGCCTGCCGGGACAGGACGGCACCCGCCGCCGGGGGGGGGGAATTGGGGGCCAACGGGGATTGGGCAGCCCCCGTCACGTGGGTGGGCGGGCTGTCACCGACCGCTCCCCCGAGGCGTGACTGCGGCTGCGGCGCGGATTGGACGCTCGATATCTTGATGACGTTGGGCTCGCGCGGGGCGGGATAGAGCGGAGCGGCCTGGCCCGGCCCTGGCCTCGGCCTCGGCCTCTCAGCGGTTCACCCTGCCCGCCAGCGGCTCAGGAGGAGCTGTCAAGCAGGAGAACTTTGTGCTGAGCACATCGGGGTAAGTGGTCGTGGCGGTCAGTGGGCGGCTGCTGCTCTGCCGGGCCGCGCCGGTGGGGGCTGCCGGCAGTGCCTGTGTTTGTGCCGGGGGCTTCCCTCTGTAGCCAAGGTCGCTGTTCCTCGAGAGTCCGCGGCAAAGTCTCTACAGCACCCCCAGGGTGAAGGGGTTTCTTTAACAGGAGATTTCGCCGCGAGGAAAAAGAAACAAAGGACCCCCTTGCTACCCAAGACGACCTACTGTCAGGACGCCGGCTCTTGAGGGTGTCTGAGTGCCGGCAGACATTTGTGACCTGCACTGGTATCTCCCAGTGACCCCCGTTAGGCCAAATTAGGAGGCGGTGGGTTTTAGAACATGGTTTGCGCTCCCTCTCCTGCCGTAGCAGGCAGGAGGTGCTGTCTCTAGCCGACTGTCGTGGAGTAGCATCAGTTTTTGCTGATGACTTGCTGTGTTTGGTGTTGTCCTTCCTTTCTCTGCGTCCGACTGAGCCAATTTCACAATTTTTCAAGCATTCTTGTGTCCTCTTCTGCTCTGTGCCCCCACAGAAACCTCAATGTAGCTGCCTTAAAGGGCACGAGCTTGATACCTGTGCTGCATAGCCCTAGATGCGAGCTATCTGCTCTGTACCCTGTAACAAGTGGTTTAATTGCTCTGCTTTTTCTCCCAAATTTGGGTGGATTGAGGTCGAGTATCTTATTCTAAATCAGTGTTTGTCAGCTTAATCAGGTATGTCCTCCTTGTTACAACTCCCCTGTCCTTTTTCAAGAGAGATGCACCGTATTAGAACAAAATGTCCTATTCTAAGAGCATTAACAGCCTTTACAATGGGTGTTTTGCTTGTTTTGTTGTGTAACACACCCTCCCACCCCACACTTTTCCTCCACACGTTGATCTTGGCTGCTGACAAAAACCAGTCTCTGTATGCCCAAATGCCTTCAGTAAAGACTCTACAGCAGTACTGTAATGGATGTGTTTCCTTCAATATAAGATATGGGTTTAACAAGAAAAAAAAACCTTTCTCCTGACGGGTTTAATTTACCACTCTGTAGCCCAAATCCAGGGGCTAATAGAGCCAGACCTACACGGTTTTCTACTCCTTCAATCTGCACCGCAGGCAGCAGTTCCTGCCCACGCTGCCGGAGCCATTCACGCAGGGGGAGGGCGGCCGGTCCCGGGGAACAGAGTTACGAGACCCGGCTTCTGCTCTCGGCTCAGCTTCCGACTGTGATCAGGGGCAGACCCTCTGCGTGCCTTTGCCTTCCGAAGACCTGCCCGAGTGAACTCCTCTCCGGCTGCTAGTTCCCTTCTCCAGCGCCTGAAACAGGTGAATCTGGTCAAGGAGATTGTCCTGTCCCAGGCTTTCAGTTCTTGAGATCCCCCTCAGCCACCGAAGCACGCTGTCCCGGAGGGGCTGCCCGGCACCTTGAAGCACCGGGCCGGGCCTGGCCTGCCGAGAACCCGGCGGCTCCCGCCGTGGCTCAGGCCCACCGCCGACCCTGCACCTCCGGGTGTGTTGCCAAAAAACTCGGAATAAAGAACTTATCAACACCAATTTAGTGTAGATAAGCAGACACTTCTTTATTGACGGCCGGGTGCGCGGGTGAGTCCTCTCACGAACCACGCACACCTGAACACCAAAACAATACACCTTATATTAAAACTTATTCATGCATATTCATTAGATTTCCAAGAAAGGTTATACATATTCATTAGATTTCTGGGAAATCATTAGCATATGTAAATGTCCTTTACGCAGGCACAGTGAAGGTCTCTGGTGGTCTTCAGGAGTCCTTTGGTAGTCTTTCATAGTCTTCCTCACTAGTCCACTTTTTGACCTCTCAGGTGTTTCCAAGCAGCAAACTGGTGTCCATAACGGTTTCCTCAGTTTCTAAAACAAACACTACAAGGCTACCAATCTTTGTCAAAGCTTCTGTGGTTAAATGATTTTAAACAATACTTGAATTCTTACGGTTACACATGATACATTTTCTAAGTTCCTAAGTTCCTATGGCTACATTTCAAGCTTAACGCTCCCATACCTACGCTTCATAATTTTCTACTTTTTAATCAAACCAAACTCCTTTGTAATTAGACTTTAATTTCTTTTATCAGAATATTTGCAACAGGTGGGCCGGAGCCGGCAGCAGCGCGCAGGTCTCGCCGGGCAGGCCGCCTGGGGCTGCTGCCTGTCGGAGCGGTTCCGAGGGCGACTGGGTCGGAGCGAGGAGCCGCCTTGGGCTCCCCGCGGCGAGGTGGGCGCCGGGCGGCTGCGCCGCGGCACAAGCACAAGCGTTCCGCCGCGGCACAAGCGTTCCGCCGCGGCACAAGCACAAGCGTTCCGCCGCGGCACAAGCGTTC